CCCCCCAAAAGACTATTACTAATAGATAAGATTGTCATCTTAAAATCTGTCTTTGCCATTAACTTCTTTCACCATATCATAACTCATTTTCTTTGTTGTGGGTGTTCAGGAGATCAACACTATCCTGCAGTATGTAGTGGAGCGGAACAAGCTGCTGCAGTGCCTCCATGCCAAGAGGCATGCTTTAGAGTCATGGAGACAACTGGTGGAAATCATACTCACTGCCTGCCCCCAGGATCTCATACAGGCTGAGGACAGACAACTGATTATCCGCGATCTATTGCAGGATATGCATGACAAGGTAATGCTGTACTGGAAATCAACCCTCTCCTTGAACCTTATTGATATATCTTTTTACATGAACAAGAAACTACTCATCAAGCAGCATTCTTCATTGTAATACAAAAAAAAAATTTGTCTCCCTGTAGTGCTCTTTTTAGTTTTCTGATTGCTGCTATGTTGAAGTGAAATGCACTGTGGACAGAGGATACTCTGTATTCTTGCAAGGCTACTATTGAGCTGTGAACCATATATTGACAAGTTTCAAAGACATTTCAGTATAATCCAGTATGTCAGTAGTCTGGAAAGGGTGTGCGAAAAGGAAAAAGACCAATTTGATGAGGAACATAGAAGGATTCATGGAAGGGATGAAGGCAAACAGTACTGCAGTTGCTCATGTACTGCGTTTAGATGACTCACTGAAAATCCTGCCGCTGCTTCTTTTGAAAAATTAAAAGAGTTGAATGAAGCTTCAAAGTAGGAAAAAGTAGAGATTTTACAGTTAGAAGGGCTTTGGAAATGTGAGAATTTGCTTTGTCTTAAAATATTTAAGATTTAGGTGGTTTACTGCTGAATTATAGTAGTAATTTAGTAATGTTTGAGATTGACTGGGTCAGTAGTAACTGCCTTTCTCAAAGACAAAATTTAATGAAGGATCCTTGTATTCTTTAGGCTGCTGGGGCTTTAGTGTTTGTTGGTGGTTTTTTTTTCTGTTTTGTTTTGTTTATTTCTTTATTGTGAGAGTTACACTGTTTGTACTTCTCCTGAATAGACAAGTTGTGTTTTGAGAAGTATATATGAAAATTTAACATTTTCTTTAAGCAAAAAGTAACCTTTTGATTTTTTTTTTGTTATTGTTTCCATTATTTTTTCTGTAGGAGTTACCTAAAAACTATTTTTTAGTGAATTGCTGGTTTTGTTTTTTATGTTAACAAAATTTTTAAAATAAGAAAAGAGAGGCCTTTGGTAGTTGAAGGAATTTCTTTCTTTCCTAAACCTTTACAGAGCAGAAATTTCAGACTCTTAATTTTCTGTAATACTTAATTTTTAGTGAAGATTTTTGTTCATTTGAGAAAACAATTATCATTATTGTCTTTTGAAAATAATTGATCTCTTGTATTAAGCAACTATATTGCTTAAAAGGAAAGCTCCTTGAGTGTCAGTGATAAAAATACCAGATTTACCTTTTAAATGATAAAGTCAAATAATTCAGTAAATGCTAACTTCTCATTAGTGTTTTCTTATCTTAAATGCTCCTTTGATGCTCACCCCTTTGAGTTTTCTAAATTGTATCTTCACATTTTTAATGGAAATAGTTTTCTTAAATAGCTGTAAAGCCAAGAGGGTGTCAGTTGTTCTTTCCCTAGCTCAGATTTAGATATTTTACTAATAAAGCAACTCAAATGTCAGCATGTTCCTTCCCTTTTCCCCATCCAGATTAAATTATCATCCTGCCTGTGATTTGTGTAAATAAAAAAAAAGTTAATGGTCTTTTCAATTAAAATGTGTTCAACTTATCTTTCTGAACAAGTTTCTGACACTACTGATTTTGATTTACTTTCAATAGTGCCATGTTAATGAAATCCATATGCATACATAAATGAAATAGCTATAAGAAGCTAAATTAATGGCTTTAATAGTTCATGAAATCAGGCATTTTTCTACTTCTTTTTTTCTTTTTTTCTTCTGTATTAAGGTCTTAGATGATGATGCAGCTCAGGAGTTGATGCCAGTGGTAGCAGGGGCTGTGTTCACCCTGACTGCCCACCTGAGCCAGTCTGTGAAAACTGAACAGAGACAGCCACTTGTGCTCCCCATGACAGGACAGTCCCAATATGTCTTGATGCTGGATGGTTCTTTTACCTCATCACCTGGCTCTGAGAGCATATCCATGGGTTTTGCTTCCATTGGTGACTCCTCTCTCCACATCATCTTAAAAAAGCTGCTGGATTTCATTTTGAAAACAGGTGTGTTGACCTTTGCAGGTGAAATTGTCACCTTTGTGTGAGAATTCCAACCGCCAAGAGTAGAAGGATGGACTAAGCTGCTTCCTGTTACTGCAGTGAGGATTTTTATTGCAGTCAATTAGGCGGATCTTGCATGATTAATATAGGTCTAAATGGTTTTACTAATGCAAAAAAATTGAATAAAGGCGTATTATTTTTTTAATCCAAACAACAAGCAGAATAGAGATGTTTAAATATTGCTACTTTTTTGGAGCAGCATAAACTTGCTGAATTTACTCGCAAATACACTTTTATCTGAACAGTAGAACTCTGACTTAAGAAATCTATTTGGTTTATTTATTTCTGCCAGCATTGCCATAGGAAAGTTAAATTAAGTGCCAGTGGAAGATAGCGTTACGGAATTTACGTCTATTTAGTTTTAATTATGAATGTTTCTTGTGAACAGGTGGTGGCTTCCAGAGAGTGAGAACACACCTTTATGGATCGCTGCTTTATTATTTGCAGATAGCCCAGAGACCAGATGAACCGGACACTTTAGAATCGGGTATGGTCCAATTGTATTACGAAAAAGAGCAATAAAAAAAATATTATTTAACCCTGAATGATACAGTTTCTGCGTGCAGGGTTGTCTTCTGGAAATAGATTATGTAGATGCTTTCTATCTTACTCCAAGAGTTTCTGAAATTAGTAGCTTATGTTAAATGATGCAAATTTTCCTCTATTCTGACCTGTCTAGTTTACATATACATTCAAAATGCATTGTTCTGGATGAGGATATTAAATTTCTGACCTCCAGCACTAAAGAAAATATTTCATTTGTATCCATTTAAAGCTATGCATCATAGCTACAAAATTGTCAAAGGACTAGAGATTACTTGGACCTACTTGAGAACAGTTACAGCTGTAGAAATGTATTCCCTCCATATCTGTATGTACACTTGTACCACAGTGATTCTATTAAAAAAAACCCCAACACACCAGAACCAAAGATGATGAACTATTCTGTTCGTTTAGCTAAAGACTTGTAGGGGGAAAACAAACAAACAAAAAAGCATCACTCCTCCCCCCCACAAAAAAAAAAAAATGCCAGCCAGAGTTGTTGCTGCTTAACCAAGAGAGCTTATGGTGAATATCACATGCTCTCGTTAATGGCTTAAATACTTGATTTGTCAGTGTTTCTAATCATTGATTCATCTTAGAGCTTGGATAAGGACTGAAAACCAAACTTGGGGCTAGTACTTGTGCATGCAGACTCCTACTGCTGTTACTTGATCACCATTTAGAGCTACAGTAGTAAAAATACCTTTGAATTTGTTATGACTCCTTTGGAGTTTATTGCTGGCTTTGGATTCAGCCCTTTCCCACTTAAGTCACCTTGTTTACTTGCCTTCAAAACTGAGTGTTTTGGTCCCAGTGAAAGTTCTTAGGCCTAATAGCCTGCTTAAAATTATTCTAAGATTCAATACATGTAACATAGAATATAGACATAGAATATAGATTTGTAAGGGTGGTATATGTATGCAGGCACACAAATTTTTTGTGCTGGCTGGCCTGTGTGTGATATTCAGGAAAGAATGAATTTATAGGAAAACATTTACTCTTCAGTCAAAAACCCTGTCCGTTGTTTGGGGCATTTCTGTTGCAATATAAGAGAATGCCCTGAAGGACGTAGCCTTAGCCTGTGCTGTAGCTAAGCTAGTGCTAAGCTGCCCATCTGTGCATTTTTCATTTTTTGTTTTACTTGCTTTTTGCAGCTAAAAAAACGATGTGGGAACGTCTGACAGCTCCTGAAGATGTGTTTAGTAAATTGCAACGAGAAAACATGGCAATTATTGAGAGTTATGGGGCAGCTCTCATGGAGGTGGTCTGTCGCGATGCTTGTGATGGTCATGAGATAGGCCGGGTAAATACATCTATTCCTTTGCAATTGCTGTTCGGTTTGTCTTAAAGAACACTTCACTACTGTGCAGAAAAGGGAAATTTTATGAGGTTGAACTAGAATATATTTTGTAGATACTTAATCTCTGTCACGTTTCTGTCCTCCTACTCATCCTTCAAGCTGTTGAAAGTAGGGGCATACATGCATATTAATTTTTTTTCTCAAAAAAGCTAAGCGTCTTACTGTTTAAATATAAGGGTAGCAAGCACTGCTGCAAAAGATTGTGGGTATTTATTTGTTACTATTTTTAAATTGTGGACTTACCAGTTTATTTTCCCACTTTGGGAAGGTTTGGTGACTTCAGGAAGAAATATTTTCTCATATTAACTCCAGTGGACAGGAATCTAGTCAGAATGCAAACGAGTTTTAAATAGCAATAATGCTTGCAGCAGTACTTCATTAAAATATTTTGACATAGTTATTGTTCAACAGTATCTATAATATTTTGTTAAAAAATAATAGAGAAAGGTAATTGGCTCATACTATATTAAAACATCAAGAAACCTTAAAATATTTTCCACATAAAGTATTATGATTGTAGTGCACAAATGCATTCTGCTTTTAAGAAGCTCTTGGAAGGAACTGCTTAGCATTTCATATTTCTAGGTATTTGTTAAAAATCTCATAGATGTAATTCTGTTTTGATTTTCTTTTTTTTGTTGTTGTTTTTTCTTTTCCCATCCCAGATGCTGGCACTGGCTTTGCTTGATCGTATTGTTTCAGTAGACAAGCAGCAGCAGTGGCTCTTGTATCTGTCCAATAGTGGCTACCTGAAGGTGCTTGTGGATAGCCTAGCAGATGATGATCTGACTCTTCAGAGCTTGCTCACACCTCAGCCCCCTTTACTTAAAGCACTGTACACCTATGAGTCCAAAATGGTAATAATACCTCAGAAACGATTTTGTGGTATGGTGGTTTTGGTGGTTTTTGTTTTGTGGCTTGTTTTGGGGTTTTTTTTCCAAATAAACATTGTTTGTCTATACTTCACATTGATTGTACTCAAGAGATACTTTACTAAAATAATAAGATTTGAAATGATCTTAGAATTAAGAGAGACAATAGTCATAATAAATCTCCAATACTTACCCTTCTCTACTCTTCTCTAGGCGTTGCTCACCAGAGTAGCTAAAAGTCAGCAAGGGGCATTAGAGCTGTTACGGTCTGGAGTGATTGTGAGGCTGGCACAGTGTCAAGTGTACGACATGCGACCCGAAACAGACCATCAGGGGTAAGTGGTGGTTCCCTGGCTGATTTTGAAATTGTAATACAGTCTTGGAAGCGTGTGATGTCTTTTTATAGCCACAAGTCTTTTGAGTAAGTATTTGTAGATATATTCTTTTTGTGTATATGTATTTCTTAAACCTATCAGTTCAGTTTAAAACTACCTTGTATTGAGAGAAAAATTCCAAATACTTAGGTGTGAAGTTGTTGTAGTTGCATGTCCAGTTACTTAGACTATGTAAAATCTTTTTTGTTTGATACCTTAGATAGGAATTGTTATATATCATAATTACATAATTTAGACTGTAATGTTTGAAAAACAGCCTACACTGTAAACTTATTTCGGGGGTTTTGCAGTTTGTGAACAGAAAGTGCAGAGTTCGTCCTCCCCCATAAAGCACTAATGAGAGAGCAGTGAAGTAAATGTTATTTCAGAAATATTTTATGATGTGTTTTTAAAAAAAAAAAAATTCACTGTTATATATTGCTTGACAAATTTACTGATGTGTTGCCATGTTGTTAGTCGTCGTGAAATGACTGAGAGAAGATCTCAGAGAAAGATTGCTTATTTAGGGGAAATCACTTCAGTTGATTTCAAACCTTGGTACTTCTTTTAAGTTTACAGTTCTTAGTGACACACTGGGGATTCAAACACTTCAGAAAAATTTGAGACTTAGACAAGTACTCTGTTTAAAAAATGCCAATGAGATGTGTACTATTATCTGAAACTTAACAGGGCATTTGTTGAGGACTGTATGTATCAGTTGCTTTAGAATTCAGCACACCTCTTGCTAAAATATTTGAGAATATTTGGTTTATATGTAAGTAAAGAAAACAGATGTCGTATTTCTACAACAAAGTAATCTGATTTAATGTAGTACAGTACAAAGAAGTGATTTTCTCTGCTTAGAGAAAATGGCAGCAGCTTTCTAGGTAAATTGCAGCATTTGTGTATCATAAATTTGTTGGTTTTCCAATATAAACTCCATTCAAGAACAAACCTATTATTGAAATATGAATGTTTGCAGGTTCTTGCGGGTGATTGTAGGCTTAGGCTCTGCCTCACTAGGGAATTTGCTTTTCTTGCACTGTTTATCTTTTTTCTTTTTTTTCTTTTTTCTTTTCTTTCTTCTTTTTAAATCTCTTAAGAATG